AATTAATTGCTAGACTAATGGTACACAAAGTCTAGATAAAATTTAATTTGCTAAAAGAATGATCATCCTAGAGAAATAACTCAAACACTGCTTGTGTATACAGGTTTATGTGTAATTATATTTATTTTGCATGTTTTTGCCATTTACAGTTAATTTAAAATGTGAAATAAAGGAGTTTTTTTCCTAAATGTTAAGTATTTGTTTATTTATAATTGTCAATTTACTGAAAGTATCTGTTTTAGGATTAATTTGAAAAATAATTAATGGATTAAAGAATACAAAATATCTTTTCTGTCAAAAAATCTTTTCTGTTTGTTAGGTGCAGGTAGGATTATTTTTAATGGTGATGTGTATATCAGTACAGAGTGAAGTTTGTTCCATTATTTTTGCAAAATAAGAACACATTTTGTAAATTGAAATTCGAAAAAAAAAAAAGAAAGAAAAATCAAGAAATGAAACATTGAAACATGAATTCATGAAAACATAACAAAAAAGGTTGTAGCTTGTAGTTTTGTCATATTTACTTTCATATTATATATTATTTTATTTTTTCAAATTTTTCAAATTTTATTCATGCAATTTTTTTTTACTTTCTGTTTTTCATATTTCTTTAGAAATTGCATTTTTTTTTTTTTTTTTTTTTTTTTTTTTTTTTTTTGCGCCTTCCAGATCAGATTCTCTTCTCTGGGGGCAGGCTTTCCACTAGAGTAAGGAGTGAGGACATATTTCTATTGGTCTGTATTAATTTCAGCTACAACATTTCTATTGGTCAAAAGCAATGTGTGTATTATGCTTAAAGTGAAGAGAAGGTTATCTGTGAAACACACAGAAAAGCAAAAATACAGGCAATATGTAAAAAAAAAAAAAACTATATATGAAAAACCAAAATTTGAAAAATCAAATTCGAAAAGGTTAACTCTTAAATAAATTTTGAAAAAAATAAAATCTGAGCAAATTAAATATGAGAAATTAATAATAAAAAAAATCTGATAATGTTTTCAAAGTTTCCTTTCTGGATTGAACTTTAATGTTTTAGTTATTTTCTTGCAACAATGATGGAATCAAATTCAATCCATTCTTTCTTTTGCAGAAATCATCAGTATTTAATATTCATAATCTAACTGATGTCATGATCTTGGTTCTGTTTACTCAAAAGTTTTTTTTTTGAGTATTCAGTTTCACTTTGATCCATGTTATTCTTCATTTCTAGTTTTATTGGTTTAATTCCTATTTTGTTGTGTTTTCTGGATATATTTGAGTTCTGAGACTTTTCTTGGTCGCCCTCTTCTGCCCTCTTGTGTTGGTCTCCTTTTCCCATGCTCCCTTCTAGAACCCTCTGTTCACACCTGCTCCCAATCAGCTCTTAGTCCTGTCTTAGTTCAGTCTCCCATATATACTGGTTCCTCGTAATTTTCCTGGCTCCGCACGTTAGTTTTTCCCTTGAAGCTGACTAGTTTTTGATTCCATGTATTTTGTACCTTGGTTTTTAGATTTTTTTTGCCTCAGTTATTCAATTAAATCTTCAAAAACTCACCTTGGTCTCCTTGCCTCCGCATTTGGGTCCTCAAAATCCCAACCAAACCCTGACGACTGATCTCGACAATATAAGAAAAGACCATCTGTGTGCCTAGTGTTTCTTCTAATTTCTCTTTTTTTAGGTAGATTTTTACCAAAAAAAAATTTTTTTTCCCAGATCAGTCTTTTCATTTCTAGGGGCGGGTTTTCCTTTGGATGTGAGGAGTGAAGACACATTTCTATTGGTCTGCATTAACTTTTTTATTGGTTGTCAGTGTTTTTTATGGGGTTTAAAGAGGGGAAAATGTAATGTTTGCAATTCAATAGAAAATAGAAAAGAATGGAATCTGTTAAATTTAATCTGGAAAAAAAAATTGAAAAATAAAATAAAAGATAAAATGTTAATAGATGAAAATGTAAACAATTGATAAAACAAAAGATATACAAAATAAATTTGAAAAACATCACATAACAAAACCTTTTTTTTTTTATCAAACGTCTTTTAAAGCTTAATTTCTTAACTTATTTTTATTTATTTTTTAATATTCCACTAGAAACCATTTTTTTCTACTTGCAACAATAATGGAACGAAATTAACTCCACAGTATTCGCCACAAATATAAAAAGTAAGTGGTCAGCTGCTACTTTAAATTCCTCTAAAAGGACAAATTTGTCTTGCAGTTAACTAGATCCACCCTGTGGCTAAACAAACAAGACGGCAGCACTCAGGCAATGACAAGGAAGGCATTATGGATGCAAGCAGCTTTTTAAAAACTCAAGCATGCAGCTTGAAAAAGGCCATTTAAGTGAAACAACCAGAGAGGGGAGTGAAGTAGGGAGATATGATAGCGCTGCTAGAATAGAACAGATCCACTTGTTCCAGACGGTAATAAGACGTTCTTCTAATTACGCTGCAGAACTTCAGTCACTCAAGGACTTTCAGTGGAGATTTAAAAAGCATTCCCCTTATAAGAACGCCTGTCAGCTGAGGGGATATCTAGATGACAACAAAAGCACCATAAGGAGATTTCCTTTCACAAGCTACTTCTAACAGTTAAGCTCGCCAGCTTTAAGGTAAAACTAATGGAAAACTTGATCCTCCTTAAACTTGGACTTCCCAGTTTGGTGTAAAATTCTCCGGTCAGTAGTTTCCAGTCAGATGAGCTCCACCCTAACAGTACTGTTTTCCATCCTGAATGAAACGACTCAGTTGTGACGTCACAGAGAAAACACATGAGATTAAACATGCAAAAACTCAAACAACCAGAGATCTCATTTGGCTCCATCTGGCCTTAGCAGTACTGCCCTCAATGTAATTGACAGAAAACAGACATATGTATTGTGTTTTTGATGGCTGACATGGCTAAGCTGGTCTGTTTAAACTGCAGCTCAATGCATTGGATAAACACACCTGCTGATGTTTTGGTTTACCTGATATTTATGCAAAACAACAGCAACCCCACAACCCTCCACTATCTGTGTTTATTACATCCAAAAAGACAGAAAAAGTTACCTTTCTAATTATTTTGAGCTGTTTATACTGTAGATATGTTCGTGTGGTGTTCCCCAAGGCTCCTTTCTCAGGTCCCTTTTATTTAGGCAAGCAGTTATCACAGGAGTTTTAAATTAAACATGATTTTAAAACAGCAAAAAGTCCTTGGAGATTTTTTGGTGTTAAGAATAATGCAAATCTATCTCCTCTAACCATGTTGGTTGGCTAAAAAAAACAAAAAACTTTTAGTGTTAATGGTTAATTTTTTTTTTTTTTTTTTTCGCAGCACTAGTGGCTCGTTTTTTGACAGTAGGCTGACAGGAAAGAGGTAATCAGAGAGGGGGAGAAAAATGCTTAAGACAAATAAATAACTGATTATTCATGTGTTATTGAGATGAAGGGATTAGGCAATTGCTTTTCTCTTTAAAAAACAGCAATTCGATCAGTTTTTCTTTTCTATTTATTTATTATTTTGTATACCGGACAATGTAATGGCTAAATTTACATAAAATTGTAATAAAAAATACAACAATGCAGCAGCTAATACAGCATATTTTGCTGGCAAGGTCATTACATGCAGCTGGACATAATGTAGATTTAGGTCCTAAAGGCTGTTCTGGGGCAGCTTTTACTCCTCATGCTCAGACTATAGACAATTTCAGCCTCTCTTACGATATGCTGATGACACAACTTTCTATTTGTGCCACCTCATGACCCCCAGTTGTTTATAGTGTCTGACTAACTATATCCATTATATCAGTACATATGGGTCAGAATTTCCTCCAGCTTTAAATAAGAAAGAAGTTGTTATTGTTTAATTAGGCTACTTGCATTTTAAAACCAGAGTTTAGGCTATTGTTTTATTTTTTGTGTTTTATTCCATTTTGTGAGGCACAATAAATTGCTTTGCATATGAATGCTTTCCTAATAAACGTGACTTTAGTGTATAGTTATATTAACATTAAGTCATAGGTACAGTTCCGACAGCACCAAAATCCTTTTATGGAGGACCAGAGGGGACATGTTAAACTTAGCATTTAAATAATAGATTTTTGAAAAGTGTTTGGTAATTGCAAATTTTTAATGAAATTAATAAAAATTTATTGTAAACTGTATTTGTGAATCCATTACTAAATACTGCAATTTCAAGGTTTTTTTTTTTTTTTCCACCAAAATGGATATAAAAAAAAAACAATATATGAATCTGATTAAGTTCTATATGTATCAAAAATTATAAATGGTAATTTGTTCTCTTCTCTTTTCAACATTAATACAAGATAGTATCAATTCCTCATCCAGAATTAAAAAATAAAACATCCAAAACCATGCAGGCCACATTTGCTTAAGTAAATTAGCTTAAGCTTAAGCTTAGACTAATCAAAGTTCTATATGTATCAAAAATTATAAATGGTAATTTGTTTTTCCTTTCTCATATTGTTTTTCACCTCGGATATTCAAATGTATTTTGCATTATTTTTATTTTTATTTACCCTCTAATTTCTGTGACCAAACAACAGCTTAATAAAAAGTTTAGATAAGCTTACAAACTGTTTAGTAACCATTTATTAACAGTTTGGTAAACAGTTATTAACACTTAATTAACAGTTATTAACAGTTAATTAACAGTAACAGCTAACTACGGTATTCATGACAGCTTATTGACAAGTAAAGAGTGTAAAATTAAAAAAATATGAATTGCAAAGTGAAAAAGAGAAATGGAAATAGAAAAAACATAGTCAGGTTTGCTTTTAAATGGCCATTTCAAAATAGAATGTGACATTTTCAAATTGTAGTATTTAATAATGGATTGATACCATTTACAGTTGCACTTTAATTATCGATGTAAAATGTGCAGTTACAAAACACTTTTCAGAATTAAATTTCAATTTTCTGATTTAAATGTTAAATTTGAAGCAGTTCAATTTTTTTTCACTGACTCTCCTGGTCCTCCATAATATTTTGCATTTATATGTTTTATTTTTATTTTACTTACCTCCGTGTCTTGCTCCAGAGTCAATTATTGGCGTGCCACCAGCAAACAGCAATATAAATGGAGAAAATATGTCAAATAATCCCGTCTGTGCCTAATATTAAGGCAGTTTCACGCTGGAGGAACCAGTTAATATTTGCTATCCGTCACATAGACCTATGTGGCTGAACAGTAAACATCATCGATATCAACGCTGGAAATCATAACAAAGCTCTTCTGTCGCTGACAGCCGCCTAATCTGAAACAACTGGAAAATATTCTGCCTCTACGACCCCCAAAAATAACACCTGTCCTCCCCTTTCAGTCGCTACAAAACATGAAATAAGGACCGCTGCTTCCTGAGCTCATCGGGCTCATCAGACGCTCTGGGCTGATGACGCAAACACGTCGACATGAGAAACGTGACGGATAGCCAATCACTGGCGTTCAAACCAAAGCTTCTTTACCTTTAGCCAATCGCGACGCGGGAAGAAGCTGACGGACATGTATGTTGACCAATGAGAGGATCTGCACCGCCTACACAACGGCACAGGTTTATTCAGCTAGCAGGCAGAGTTCTAAAGAATATGCTGTACTACCTTCAGTTGTGAGCGTTGTTACATCATTTTGGGGTTTTTTGGTTTGTGCGGACCCCTGCTAAAAATAGCTAATGGGGCGTCATTGTGTGAAACTTAGATAAACCAAATGATAAAGGGTTCCTTTGTTCCCCATTGCAAAAAAAAAGTATTCCCCCCATTAAATAATACTATATTTATACGTTTATTATCAAATCCATTGTAATAAGAAACCAAAGTAAATGTAGAATAATACGTTTTTACATGAGTATTTAATCTTTTATGGAAAAAAAAAAATAATAGATACTGATATCATGAATAAGGTATGTCTTACAGATTAAAAATCTAAAATAATCAGTATATAAAGAGTTTTAAAGCCATCTTTAAGGTTTGGGGGTCCATTAAACCACAGTGAGACCATATTTACACAAACAGAGACTCTATGGTACATTTGTGAACCTTCTCTTTTCAACATTAATACAAGATAGTATCAATTCCACATCCAGGATTAAAAAATAAAACATCTAAAACCATGCAGGCCATATTTGCTTAAGTAAATAAGCTTAAGCTTAAGCTTAAGCTTAGACTAATCAACTCAACATATTTTAAATGTCCCTCCTGAATTTGGGGATATGTATGCAAAACTTTTGGGAGAATATTTCCCTTGACCACAAAATGTGTATCTGAAATAAAATTCACAGAGTATTTAATAAAAAAAATGTAACAAAGAGATAAATATGGTAGCAGAGTGGCGGTCTTGGGTTGCTTTACAGCTCAGGGTGAGCTGATACAAACGTAGACCCATAAATGTTGCTCTAAACCGAACTAAAATACAACTTCAACATATCATGCATGCTAAGATATTTCAATATAATGTATATAAAAAGATTCTGCAAAGAAGAGTGGGCGAAAATAGTCATAATTCCCTCGGTAAAATTGATCAAATTTTACACATTTGTCTGATATCAAAGTTTGTTCAATCTAGTTTTAAAATGTAGAAATAAACAATTAATAAAGGTCAAGTTTTATTAAAAGTGCCCTACAATCAGTGTTAAGTTGCAGATGACTCCTGCACAAAAGTGAAAGTAAGACAGTTATATCTGTTTGAAGCCTTGAAAGTATTAACCTGGGCAATAAAACCATAAACCTTGATAAGAACTAACTGCAAATTTGTTGCCCAGTTTTTAAACAAGAATATGAAAATTAAGTCTCAAGCCTAAAGGGAAGCAGCTTAATTCCTCTTTAAGCCTTATGGGAGATCAGCTAATTTTTATTTTCTATATTTCCCTGTGAAAACATCCCAAAGGGTTTTTAGAACAGAGCAAATAATTTGTTTACTCCTGGGAGTTGCAGATAACATAACCGTAACAGCCCAGTTCTGTTGACCCAAACAGAGCCTACAGCAGTGAGGAGTGGACGTTAACGTCTCCCTGTTGTAAATCTCCTTACTTGGATGTTTCCTGGCCTTTTACTGTTATGCCTGTGATGTCAGCCGGCGGGGGAAAAAAAGGTGGGTGTTTACTCTGGTTTCTGCTAACACGTCTGGGTGTGGTGGACAGCAGACAAGGCTGTTTTTGTGTTTCTCGCATCAATGGGGCCCACAGAGCCGTGACTCGACACCTATATTTAGATCTGGCCTGTAAATTTCACCGGCCTGCATGTTCAGTTTTAAATGGATGCAAATTAAAACCATGATATTCAATAGGAAATGTATTAAAATGTTTATTTTTTTTCCACATTTAATAATGAAGAACTTAAAAATAAATGTATTCAGTTGCATTTGAGTAAATGTAAAAAGAAAAACTACTTTAAATTCAATTCAGTGTATTTATGGTAAATGGCCTGCACTCATTCACGCACACTCTGATGGTGGCGAGCTACATCGTAGCCACAGCTGCCATGGGGCTCACTGACAGAAGCGAGGCTGCCGTACGCTGGGGCCTCCGGGCCCTCTGACCACCATGTAAAGTGTCTTGAGATTCACATTTTGTCGAAGGGTTGAACCTTCAACCTTTTGATTTCAGGGCAAACTCCTACACCCGATGCCACTGTCGCCCTATTTTATATTTATTTAGCACCAATTCACAAAATGTGAATCTCAAAGCACTTTACAGAGAAAATTCAACTGTACATTTTACTTTTACTTCATCAATATTCTGGTCAGAGTATTGCTTTTTCTTATTGGAGTAAGTTTTCAAGGCTTTCGACCTACCAGGAGTAACATGAGCTACTTGAATGTCAGAGAAAAAACAAAAAACTTGGTTTTACGAAGCTACCTAGCTTGCACAGTATTTATATTGACTTTTGGCTTTTCTTTTACTGTGATTTATTCAGTCTAATTTAAATGTGTTTTTACTGCACCAGTGGCTTGTTTTTTTGAGAGTAGGGTGACAGGAAAGGGGGAGATACATGTGGCAAAAGATCACAGGTCGAATTCGAACCCAGGTTGGCCGCATCGAGGACTAAGGCCTCTATACACGTACCGTGCGCACTAACCACTGCGCCACCTGCACGCCCTTAAATGTGTTTTTTTAAAAACACATTTATCAATAGTGGTTAGAGCAGAGCGCTTGTGCTCTGAGAAGGTCACAAAGTACCCAGTTACATCCCCATAACCTGCGCTCTGGTTCCCTGAGCAAGACCTTTGACGCCACACCGCTCCCTGGGCGCTGCACAATGGCAGCCCACTGTTCCCAAAATGTAAATACCAAATACACAGAGTGAATTTTGCTTTGTACTTCTGACAGTATAATGACAAAGTTGAATTCTATTCTATTCTGGATTTAAGAGTTTTGCGGCGCAAGGCGAAGGCAGGCGTAGGGCCCTCTGAAAGGAGACAACACACAAAGCAGATAGAGACGCTTTATCAGAATGCACATTTAGAATGCGTTATTTGTTTACCTTTTGTCCTTTTTTCACTTTCGTTTTCTCAGTCTTTAGTTTTCTTCTCCCTTTTGTCTTATTTCTTCCTGTCTAGCCTCATCTTTGCACTCTGTTTTGTCTTCTAATTGTGTTTAATGCAGTTATCAAAAGTAAAATAAATACAAAACTTGTTAGTAATATTTCTAATATATTGTTTCTTTCATTTTTTTTTCAAATTCTTTCCTAATAAAACTTCTATTTCATATTTTTTCCTACATGTTCTAGACCTTTATTTTCCTCACAATTGTCACTTTTTCCTGCATTCACAGTTTGTTTTCATGCATTTTGCTGCTGCTCTCCAGTATCCTTCGTGCACATGCTCAGTGGAATGGACTGATGCAGCAAAGTGGCGACTGAAGGCAGGATCCAGAGCCACACATAAAACAATTAGCATTCTGATGGTATTTTTTAGAAAACCAAAACATAAGGTGGGAAAATAAATATTGTATTAGCCACATACAGGTGCTGGTCATAAAATTAGAATATCATGAAAAAGTAGATTGATTTCAGTAATTCCATTTAAAAAGTGAAACTTGTATATTATATTCATACATTACATACAAACTCATATATTTCAGATGTTTATTTTGTTTAATTTTGATGATTACAAATGACAACAAATGAAAATCTCAAATTCATCATATCAGAAAATTAGAATATTACTGAAGACCAATAAAAACAAAGGATTTATAGAAATGTTGGCCAACTGAAAAGTATGAACATGAAAAGTATGAGCATGTACAGCACTCAGTATTTAGTTGGGCCTCCTTTGGCCTGTATTACTGCAGCAATGCGGCGTGGCATGGAGTCGATCAGTCTGTGGCACTGCTCAGGTGTTATGATAGCCCAGGTTGCTCTAATAGTGGCTTTTAGCTCTTCTGAATTGTTGGGTCTGGTGTATTGCATCTTCTTCTTCACAATACCCCATAGATTTTCTATGGGGTTAAGGTCAGGAGAGTTTGCTGGCCAATTAAGAACAGGGATACCATGGTCCTTCAACCAGGTACTGGTAGCTTTGGCACTGTGTGCAGGTGCCAAGTCCTGTTGGAAAATGAAATCTGCATCTCCAAAAAGTTGGTCAGCTGCAGGAAGCATGAAGTGCTCTAAAACTTCCTGGTATGTGGCTGCGTTGACCCTGGACCTCAGAAAACACAATGGACCAACACCAGCAGATGACATGGCACCCCAAACCATCACTGACTGTGGAAACTTTACACTGGACTTCAAGCAACGTGGATGAAGTGCCTCTCTTCTTTTCCTCCAGACTCTGGGACCTTGATTTCCAAAGGAAATGCAAAATTTACTTTCATCAGAGAACATGACTTTGGACCACTCACCAGCAGTCCAGTCCTGTTTCTCTTTAGCCCAGGCAAGACGCTTCTGACGCTGTCTGTGGTTCAAGAGTGGCTTGACACAAGGAATGCGACAGCAGAAACCCATGTCTTTCATACGTCTGTGTGTGGTGGTTCTTGAAGCACTCACTCCAGCTGCAGTCCACTCTTTGTGAATCTCCCCCACATTTTTGAATGGGTTTTGTTTTACAATCCTCTCCAGGGTGCGGTTATCTCTCTTGCTTGTACACTTTTTTCGACCACATCTTTTCCTTCCCTTCGCCTCTCTATTAATGTGCTTGGACACTGAGCTCTGTGAACAGCCAGCCTCTTTAGCGATGACCTTTTGTGTCTTGCCCTCCTTGTGCAAGGTGTCGATGGTCGTCTTTTGGACAACTGTCAAGTCAGCAGTCTTCCCCATGATTGTGTAGCCTATAGAACTAGACTGAAAGACCATTTAAAGGCTTTTGCAGGTGGTTTGAGTTAATTAGCTGATTAGAGTGTGGCACCAGGGGCCATCAATTTTGAACCTTTTCACAATATTCTAATTTTCTGATATGATG